CTCCCCTTCCTTCCCCTTCTTCCCTTTCCTTCCCCCGGTGTCTCACCCCTGTCCCTGGTCCCAGGGGGTCCCTGCCCTCCTGGGCCCTGGTCGGGTGTGCTCGACCCCCTTTTCATCTGGCATTAAATCCTTCCTGGGTGCTTCGTCAATGATAAATCTTTGTTTATATGGGTTTTTTTTTGTAATAGTGCTGTGTTTCGTTAGTAAAGGTATTAGAAGTCGCTGTCACCCGTCACAGCCTAATTTTTTTTGGCTCTCAACTTATTCACGTGGGTGCTAGTCCCCCGTGTCGAGCTGCGTTTGAAAATACAGCTGCAGGCTCTGAAATAGTTCAGTTTTTGGAAGGACTAACTGTGTAAAACTTGTGGATATGCAGAATATCTGTTCTTGTGAGTCAGGTGCTGTCATTGCACTTCAGGATTTGCTTTTATGGATGAGTTTGAGGAGAGGGAGTAACTCTGTTTTCTCTGTGCATTCACTGCTCAAGAGTTCCTGGCTTCCTGCTGCACTGAGCTGCTACACCCTTTCCTTTCATTGTCACCTGTCCCAGTTTTGGTGTCTGCCAGGGCAGTTACTCGTAAATTTCACAGAAGGGACAGGCAAGTTTCAGACAGATTTTGCTGCTGCTTGTAAGCTTTTGACTGGCAGCAGTGAAAACTGATGTGATACTACTATCTTAAGCTCAGACTTAGAGAAATAATGTAGTAGCACCAGTTTAAGTAACTGAAGATGGTAATGTAAATAATACTTAGCCCAGCCTATGTCAGTTGGAGCTGCTCTAGTAGTAGTGTAGGCAAATTCATTCTGAATTTGAGTTTAGCTATTTTCTTTCTGTCTTGGGCATTGGTAATCTTACACTTCAAGAGGTTGTTATGTCTATAGTAGTGGCAGTGCAAGCCCTGAGACCTCTGGAACAAGTTCTTCTCTTAGTTTGTATTGCAGAAGGAATGTCAGTTCTATGTGTTCTCTGGGAATTATTTTAAACAAATCACAGCTGGACTGAAGTAAGGAGGTAAATAGGTTTAAGGCAATGAAGTCTCAAATTGCATTCCAAGAAGGTCTCTGTTCAATGGCCATCTCACCTAGGGTCTGTTTTAGCTCATTGCATATCTTCTTTCTTGACCTTGGTGCTCCTTAGGTTTATGCAGGGCTGCCCAAACTCTTCTGGAGAAGCAGGTTTGGGTTGTAGTGTTCTGCTCCAAACATGTACTGACAGGATCAGCTTGGAAGATCCCTCACCACTCTAGTATGGTATGTAGTTTGGTGGCTTCTGGTGTGCTGTGTCTGACGGCCTGAATTGTTTTTCCCTCCTGCTATGTTTTAATAGCTTTAATTTGAGAGATGCATAACTCCCCGTCCATCCTTAAATTAATATTCAGAGTATTCTGTTAGGAAATGGTGATGTATGTTTGAACTTTCTTATGCTGAAGAAGGCACTGAATGTAGGTATTGAACTTCCTTTGCATATACCAGAGCCATTTGGATATTACATGTACAGGGCTGACACTTCTTTAAAATTGAAATCTCTGCCAAATTCATGACATTATCTCTGATGAAATCAAATAATAAGTGTTTCTTGTCAGGGCAGGATTCTAGATGATTAATTTTAATATTAACACCCGAGTCCTGTGCCAGCACATACCCTTGCCCATAGGAAATAGTGTAATTTTTATTCACTCTCCTGAGATACCCTTCAGCAGGTGTTTGCTGGGCACTTAAGAGCTTGACACAAATTTCTGGATTCTACTGTTAAGGTTCAGAGCTGGAAAACTAGGTCTTGCAGCCCAAAGCTCTAACCCTTCATGTTGTGTGCCATTTTTGGTCTTTAGATGTTCCAGACTTGAAATGCAGGGAAGTTAGATAGCAAATAAGTTCTGTAAGTGTGTGAGGTGTATAATGCTTTTCTTTACCTGGTGTCATGTAGTTTAAATCAATAGGATGTTGTTTATGGACAGGGAGAATACTCACCAAAAACAGGCGCAAAAGCTCCTTAGTCCCACACCCTTTTAATTATTTCTGTACAGACTCTGATAAAATCTGCCTGTGCTCCACAGTGTTAACAGAGCAGCAAAAGGCTTAGTTTTGTAACTGGACCATAAATGCCTTTTGTGTCCCTGCTACACTTATATTTAGCTATTACCTTTTTCTAGATTACTATACTTGCAACATAGTTAAATTTAATTAGGCTCAGTGTTAAGCATTTCAGGTGTGTGTGCTGCTATATTTAAAGTTGTTTGGGTTGTTTTTATTTTTTTGGCCTGTTCTCTCTAATAAGACATGATTGTGGAAATACATAAGGATGTCATGCTTAAATTTAGTTGATGTTCTGAACTCCTGGAGTTTTTTTGATTTCATTTGGGGGAAGCTCTATCTTCCTGCCCAGGAATCTGTGAAACAGAGCTCAAACAAGATTTCTTTCTTTCTTTCTTTGTGTATACTGGGAGCTAACCAGGGATACATTTTATCAAAGTGGTCAGTTTTATAAAAGTATACATTTTATAAAAGTAATCAAAGTGAGGACTTGAGGGAATGGCCGTAAACTGAGACAGGGGAACTTCAGATTAGATGTTAGGAAAATTTTTGTCCCTGTTAGGGTGATCAGGCACTGGAATAGATTGCCCAGGGAGGTGGTGGAGTCACCATCTCTGGAAGCGTTTAAGGAACATCTGGATCTGACGCTGGAGGATGTGGTTTAGGGTTTAGGGGTTCCAGCTGAGTGGCAGGTTAGTGGTTGGCCTTGATGATCTTAGAGGTCTTATCCAACCTTGATGACCCTATGATTTTATGCAATATTTTTCACAGTTTGTATCTTTATTTAGTGTCTATTTAATTTTATTTCACGACTGTCTCTGCGTCCCCTCCCTCCCAACCTGTTTTCCCCCCAGCAGTCCAATTCTAGTGGTGCTTGTTGGGAATGTTGGGGAGTTACCTGATGCTCACAGAGCTCTGCCATAAGGAACAGTCTGTAGACAGTTCAAGCTCTGGAACTTGATAATGCTTCAAATGACTCTGCAGCTTTTAATCATTTGGTGTTTTGAAAGGCTTCTGTCTCTTGCACCATGTGTTCACTGTGAGAGAACGCATTTATTTATATAAATATCTTTTATTTATAAACAGATTTATTTTTGAAAAATATTTATAACTGAGAAAATGTGATTCTAACTTCAGTATGACTTATCTCTGTTCAGTGCTCAAAGGTGATGATAGATTGGCATCGCTGTTTTCTTTTGTTAGCTACGGACAGACTACTTCAAGTAGCAGCACTACTCTTGGAGCACTGTACAACAATAATATCAGCACAGCTGCAGCATGATAAAGGTTTCTGATTCCACTTAGTAACTCTGATGAATGTTTAATATTTGGTAAATGTTGCCTATCTAGTGGAAGTAGTGAATGTATAGAAGCTACATACAAGATATGAGGTGCTATACCTGTTTGGGACTGTTTTAGTTCTTCCTGTTCTGATTGTATGGTGGGTTGACCCTGGCTACATGCCAGGCACCCACCAAAGCTGCTCTCTCACTCCCTGCACAAAAATGGAGCAGGGAGAGAAAATATAGCAAAAGGAACATGGGTTGAGATAAGGACGGGAGAGAGTTAATGAGCATCGTTGTCAGTTTCAAGAAACTGATGCTCCATTGAAAATTCTGTGATTCTTACTTGGTAAAGGAAAAAAAGCCACATTGAAATTTCATACATTGCAATTCTGTTAATTATCTCTTCTAAATACAGCGGCTTTTTCTTTATAGCAAAACTTCCTGTGTATATAATCTGTGTAAAAAGAATGATCTGTTGAACAGTGCACACTTGACAAGGTAATTAAGTGTTGCTAGATAAATTTATTTTATGTGAAAGATTTCTTTATGATAACAGAGCAATTTAATTTGTTCACAGATAATGAAACTGCAGTGTACACACTGATGCCAATGGTTATGGCTGACCAGCACAGGTAAGAGCTGCTTTAAATTTCCCTGTTTTAATTAAAAAAACCCATTATGTTTGCTAAAGGTGTAGCTGCTAGAGCACTCTCAGGAGTTCTGCTGCTGAATTGCTGAGATGTCTTCTGTATCCAAAGTTATTCCCTGACTCTGTGCATCCCAGCATACTTTTACTGGAGAATCCTGTTTCATTTTGTGCCATAGATCAGAGCTGGGATTTGTTCTGTTGATGCACATTGAGAAATTTGTCCTAGAATAAGAACAAAAGCGTTGTTTGATACCTGGGTCTTAGCTCTGAGTGTATATCTATTGATGACATAGTAGCTCTTAGTCTCATTAGATGTCTTGGAAAGAGATGGAATAAGAGCTAGACAAGGAGGTTGATACTTCTGGGATTCCTCAGATGAGCAGCTGTTTCTCTTAGTTGTCCTCAGAGTGGTTGGGATCTGGAGGCAGCTAAGTGGTGCTACCTTCTGGTGGGTTTTGAAGGCAAGCAGGTAATAACTCTTACTGAAAGAGTAAACTGTTTATCTAATCAGGATAAACATTTGTTCTGCTACATATTTTGCTGAGATTGCATGCAAGGGTTTTAAATTATGTGATCAGTCCATTCCTGGAAGTCGAAGGGTCTTATTTGATTTTTATGATCATATTGGCATGTTGTGTATCCTTCTACTTCATCATGATAATTTCCCATGCCAGTCTTCCCTCTGAACTTTGCCTGTGTTTGGGAAAGCTGCTGGATATCTGGTTGCAGTGTCTGTGATGAGATAAGGAGGAAAATGGGAGGGTATTTTTTTTTTTCTAGCCAAAGCTGTTAATATGGGCCTAAGCTGGGCCTAAGCTGGGCCTACAGGGAAGCTGGAGGGGGTCTCTTTGTCAGGAGCTGCAGTGACAGAACAAGGGACAATGGATACAAATTGAAAGAGGGGAAATTTAGGTTGGATATTAGGAAAAAGTTTTTTCCTGTGAGGCTGGTGAGACACTGGCACAGGTTGCCCAGGGAGGTAGTAGATGCCCCAACCCTGGCAGTGTTCAAAGCCAGGTTGGATGAAGCTTTGAGCAACCTGCTCTGGTGGGAGGTGTCCTTGCCCATGGTAGGGGAGATTGGGGCTAGCTGATCATTTAGGTCCCTTCCAACCCCTAAAATTGCTGTGATTCTGTATGCTTGTTTTCCATATTTGCAAAGAAGTGATTTGGCTGTCTAGTCCAGTTTTTACTAGTTTACATTTGAAACAGTTGCCTAATGTCACAGTTCATTTTTTTATGTACAAGTAAGATGTGAAAAGGTATTGTTAATCAGCAAATGCTTGAACTCTGTTCGATCTCTTAGTTGGAGGGAAGAGAAATAGTGATCAAGTAAGAAATAAATACACGTGTACAATTTAGAGTATAAGCTTTGCTTGGATACTGTGAGCTCTTTTGTGATTAAAACTGTTTCTGTTTGAAGGTCTGTCTCAGAGCTGCTATCAAATTCAAAATTTGATGTCAATTATGCGTTTGGACGTGTGAAGAGAAGTTTGCTTCATATTGCAGCAAAGTAAGACTTACTTGAGTCCAGTCCAGAAGTTAACAATGAAAATATTACCACAAATCTAAGGCACCAATGTAAGCTGGAAAACTCTGTAGTATCAGTTAACATTTTGTTTTCACACTTTCTTTTTGCATTTTGTATGTTCTTTTAGCAATGTGCCTGCCTCATTGAGAGGGCAGATTGTACAGATGATATCAAATGGCTTTCCAAAGTCTAGTGAAGGAAGTCTTGCTATCCTTTTTTGCCTTTCTGTGCTGTCTCAGGTCTGTGAAGAAGTGCAGCCATGATATCCTATATTGCCCTTGCCTTTGTAGAGTTAGAGAAAGCTTGTCTGAAGGTGCTGCTTGTTTTTGAAGTATTCTGTAACAGTGGGAAGCTCTTGGATGTTCATTGAGAAGCAGCTGTTTCAAAGTACTTCATGTAACCATAACTGAAGGGAATATAACTTGGGCACTCACTTCTAATAAGTTTTCATATCCTGGATAAAGTGCTAAGTGCAGATTTCCAATTGTTGATTTATATTTATTATTTATGTAGCTCTTCAGTGGGGATAAATCTAAAATCTATATGGCCAAGAAACAGTTTATTTTCCTGAAAGGCCATTTCAAAAACTAATGCATGGATTCTCTATATTTGGCTCCCCTTTTAAATACTTTGAAAGTTCTTACATTTATGTAAACTGTCACAAAAGAAAAGAAACAGTAGTAGCATAGCATATAAATAGCAGGTATTTGGGCACAGGAAAGGTAAAAATACCATTTTCCTAAGCAAACTGTTTTAGAAATGTGTTTCCCAAATATTCTATCTCGGAATTACATGCTGCTTGTATAAAATATACTTAAGGAAGAGCTTAAAAAAATGCAAGCCGATTTTTAGCATACACCTTAGAAGTATATTTGAAAGGCTGTTATTTATTGATCATAAAGCACAAGAAGTTGTTACACTTAGTTTTTGGATTGTCTTTTAACTTCACTAGTTGTTGGGTCACAAAGAGGTCATCAAGATGCTGTTTTTGCAACATAGTACAACTGCTCTTTGGTTTCTTTGAGTTGTTGTGTAGCAGTTCTGATATTGGAAAGATTTGTAACGGGTTAAAGTGGTCATGATAGATACAAAAATATTGTGTGTTTATCCTTTCAATCAGCTCTTCCTCTTGAAGAGTTTAGGAGTCAGATAAACATGTAATGCAGTTTCTCTTTCTTGGTGACATTGGTCATCCTGAAGAGCTGCTATGTTATGAAAAGTACAAGGCAGTTACAGGCTTGAAATTAACAGCAAAGAAATATTTGTGTGAGTTCTAGAATTTTTTTGGTATTTAAACTTTTAAATGTAATTTCCATTGAAATGACCTTTCAGGGAAATAAACTTTAATGAAAGAATTCTCTATATTTGGCTCCCCCTTTTGGCTCTCCAGATAATCTGGATCAAGATAATGGAACAAACCCCAAAATGTTGGAATTTTTACTTAATTCAAAATACAATCCTGTTAATAGATTAAAGATAAAGGAGGTTAGAGGATATAGTAAAAAAATTTTAAGAGTTTATAATTTAAAGAATTGCCAGTCTTAAAGATTCCCTGTTGGGTTTTGATGTTAAAATGACATGGAAAACAGCAGCTATTCATTGTTACAAGTTATAATCAGTCAGTTCTCATTGCATTAAGTGACTTTCCTGTAGCTTTGTGTAACTTAAACTATGAGGGTGTAAAACAATTTTATGCAAAGATTTCGTGCTGAGTGTGATCTGTACATAGTATTGCTGTTGTCTTTGTCGGTGCAGATTTGGGTTGTAAGTATCCTTGTTACAGTTTTTCCCTTTCTAACTTTGTTCTTAGCTGTGGATCAGTTGAATGCTTGGTTCTGTTATTAAAAAAAGGAGCAAATCCAAACTACCAGGACATTTCAGGATGCACTCCTCTCCATTTAGCAGCAAGGAATGGGTAAGAAAAAAGTTCTTGAAACTCTTATATTTTGTGCATGGTGCATTTGAGCTGATACATGCTGTGACATCATTGCATAGTTCAAACAATACTTTGGTCTTCACTTCTGAAAATAGGGGTGACACACTGATAAAGAACACGGGGATTAAAATTCATACATTGAGTATTCAGGAAATAAATTTTTGTAAAGAATAAGTCATGTCTGAAATAGCGGTTTCAGTGACAGTCATTTCAGTGTTTTCTATTAAGCAGGAGCTTAATGATCCTTACAATAGTCATCAAACAAGGGATGCATTCACCTTCCAGTTAGCTGAGTAAGAAAAGATTTTGGAGGGATTGGAAGGGTTCAGGTACTTCAGATTTTTCTCAGGGAGTATCTCCAGGGAAATTTTACTACAAGAAAAGGAATGCAAATTTGGCCTTCACAGTCTGGGGTGGGGAGAGGGGTAAAACCCAAATGAGTGAGCAAGCTCCTTTTTAAGATGTTATTTCTTGACCTGTGGTATGTGGAAATACGCCGCTGTAAAGGTAAGGTTGTCTTTTCTTTTTAGAGCATATGTGTGTTACAGTAACTGAATTGTATCACAGCTGGTGCTTCAGATGAGGAGCAAGTAGTGTTTAGTGGCTTCTAGGTATGTGGGAGCAGTATTTGTAGAAGAGAGAAGGAACCAGCCAAGTGGTACATGATGAAATGCAGAATACACACAGGAGACAGTTATGTGGAAATGAGGTGTAGGAAAGGTGTGAGAGGTACAAATAAAAAGGAAAAGTGAGAATAAACTCTTAAAGGTAAAGCACTTAGGCATTAAAGAATGTTAAAAGACCAAACAAAACACGAAGTAGGAAAAAACACCTCTACTTTGCTTAGGACAGTAATTGTACTTGCAAAGGATTTGCTTAGTGTTACAGTGACTGTCTCATTAAATGATGATTTAGTGGTGTACTGTAAACATCTTCACTGAAGTGCACAGATGATGATGAACCTCATGGACTTCCTTAGCTGAACTCTGGCTACATGTCTTCATGGTGTAGTTTTTGCAGAGCTGAAGCTGTTAGAGTGGTGGTGAAGTACTTCTACACTTTCCACAGAAGCTACAATGGTTGTGCTGTTGTATGCTACTCTTTCTGGCATGATGATCACTTCTTTTTCACCTGCACAGTACTGTGCTCCTTATAAAGTGAAAGCACCTGCTGTGCTTTGCACAATGATGAATTAGAGAGTGGAGCTCTAAGAAGATACTTAGCCTTTGTAAGTGATTTTTCCTGGCTGGGTTTTAATGTGTTCTTTTGTTTATAGCCAGAAGAAATGTATGAGCAAGCTGCTGGAATACAGTGCAGATGTCAACATTTGCAATAATGAAGGCTTGACTGCAGTAAGTGCTATTGATTATCATGATGCTCTTGAAATGAGAAGTTTGACGATTCTCATTTCTTGAGCTTCTGCCATCTTACATATAGAAGAAAACTGCTGCACGTTCAGTGCCCTCAAGAATCAAAAGATGTGCTGAAAATACGTAAGCGTATGATAATATTGTTCGGTGCTTCTCTTTGTGAAAGTGTTGACAATAGTTCAGTTGGGTTTAAAATCATGTTTATGAAATACTTATGGCATTGCTAAAGGAAATGTGTATCTCATCATTTTGTCCTTAGATTCACTGGTTGGCTGTCAATGGACGAACAGAATTGCTTCATGATCTTGTTCAGCATGTCAGTAATGTGGATGTTGAAGATGCAATGGGACAGACAGCCCTTCATGTAGCTTGTCAGAATGGACACAAGACAGTAAGTTTCTAGATTACATGATCACAGTGGATTTGTGAAGAATTTGGTAAAGCCTTAAAGTTGTGGATCTTTTAATAAGCTTCAGACTTGTAATTGATAATGGTTAGAAGTGTGGAGAATGCTGTTGTTTTTCTTAGTGCCAACTGAACAACTAATTTATTCTTGTGGAGGTGTTTGTGGGAGTTTAGGTGTCTTCCTGTATATTGTTCTGCTGTTCTCTAGTACTATTATTGGCTTGTCGAGAGCAAGTTTTTATGTCATTTTAAATGCTTGAAAATGTTCTTTACTTTTTAGAAGGTGTTTAATTCACAATTGTGCCACCTGTTACGTGCTTTTGAAATCTTAATTTACTCTGAATGCAAAATTAACACAGTTGGGTCAGATACTTAACATTAGAAGTAAACAAGTTCAAATAAACTCTTCCTTATCTGTGTGAATAACTTTTATACCTGACCTTGCATTAGGGCTGACTATTTATACTCAGAGTACAGGTCTGGATGCCTTCCTTGAACTGTTAGAGCCATATAGAGTTATACAAATTGTCTCCAGAACTACTGACCATTAAAAAATATTTATCTTTCTACCCAGATCTCTGTTGTCATTGTCATGATTTTGGATGACCAAATTCTGAGAAACTTATCAATAGACTTCCCTAATTTATGACTGGAATATAATAAAAGTTTTACAAGTTGCTTACCAATTTCTTCTAGTCCAGTTTGAGTTTGAAAACAGCTCATGATAAGGCTGTATATGGCTCTCACTAACTTCTCTAGAACATGTGACTTTGAGTTTTATATGGCTTGTAGCTCCAGGGATGTTTGAGGTTAGCTGAAGTTCAGTAAAAGATATTGTCATTAAAGTGGAAAGTTCAGAGGAAGCTCTATGTGCTCTGACAGCCATGATTTTACATACAATGTTTAGGAATCTTGGTCTTGAGGTTCATTACTGAAAATGAAATCCTTCTGTGTAATTAGGCACATATGACACTAAGTAGTTGCAAGCCAATAGACCATTCCATTGCTCCTTTTCTAATGCTGGATTTTCTTCTCTTCTAGACAGTGCAATGTTTGCTGGACAGTGGTGCAGATATAAACAGGCCAAACGTGTCTGGGGCAACTCCACTTTATTTTGCTTGCAGGTTATATATTCTTAATTTTTGAATACTGTGCTTAAAAGTGAAATAGTTTTTTTTCCTTTTGCAATAACAATGATTAGAAAGCTCAAAATTTAGGAAACAAAAAGCTGCCTGGTATTTGATCTTGCCTCATGTTTGAGTGTAGTTTTGTGTCTTATCTAAATACTTATCTTAGTACTGCAGGCTTATATACCTCTGTCTAACAGACATGTGAAACACATAGCTGTGCATGTTGTCAGGACTCATGAATAAATGACTGCTGAATGATTTTCTGAAGAAATGAGTTCTACCAACTTGGATTATTTTGATTACACTAAAAATGCAGCCTTTTATAAGGCAAATTTGGCTCTTCAGTGTACGTTGTGGTATTACGGTGTACACAAAATGTGCTTATTATGTCTGACAGTTGCAATGTTGAATTAAAATTACACTGTTGCTTTGATCAGTTCTGTTTTCACAGTTCAGTTTGATTTCAAAGCTGATCAGATAAAATAAATGACCTTTTGTTCCAACTAGAGCATTTCTGCTGTTTTGGTAGAAAATGTACAATTTTTGTAATCCCTATGCTTTGGTTACTGGTTAAATAGTTCTCCTAAGATTAAATGCTAATATAAACAAAAAGAGAAATGGGCTGACCTGGTAGCCTGCCAGGAGTTAGGTTTGGGAGCTGTGGTCTCTGGAGGTAGTGTATGTTGACTCTGTTCAGTTGAGAAGAAAGGAAGTGGAGAATAAATAGCTGCTAGCCTTGGTGCTTGATTTAGGAACTGGTACTGGCATCTGCTTTAAAAGAAGTAAGCAACTTAGAGTCATAGAATCATCAAGGTTGGAGGAGACCTCTAAGTTCGAGTCCAACAATTAAAAAACATTTCCTAACATCTGATCTGACTTTCCCCTGTCTCAGCTTATGACCATGCCCTCTAGTCCTCTCCCTGCAGCCATGGCAGGAGAGACCGTTCCTCACCTTGCTGCAACCCTCTTTCAGGTAGTTGTAGAGAGCCATGAGGTCTCCTCTGAGCCACTTCTCAAGGCTAAACAAACCCAACTCCTTCAGCCCTTCCTCATAGGTGTTGGATGCAAAAGTAAAACTCATTACATTTCAAGGCTAGGCAAAATATTTATATGTACTGGTTAAAAGAAATTAGAGCCTTAAGAATGATGTATTGAAAGCTTGTGCAAAAAAAAGTTTTTTATAAATAAGATGTTGCTAATGTTTAATTGAAGCACAGTTAGATTACTTTTTTTCCCCAAATTTGGTAGGAATGAGCAGAGAACTCAGTGAAGGGAACTTTGTGAAGTAAATTAGGGTGTGAATTGAGAAAGAGCTCTCTCTTTGCAGGAAATGCAGCTCATAGGTATTGATGAGGCTGGGCTAAGATGAATCATTTCTGAATGATGAGAGTGCCTGTGGCTTGAAAAATGGACTAATACCTAATTTTGCACTGTTTTTCTGCAGTGGCCTCAAAAGGTAGTAAGAGAATCTCAGAGGCATTATCGTCCATCTTGTGTTCTGCTCAGTTTCATGACTATTTGTTTTCTCCTAGGTTATGTTGGTTTTGTTTGTTAGATGCACTATAGACAGAGTTATGACTTCGAGTAGAGCATAAATGGTATGTTAACTGTCTGTCTACTCTTTTGAACAGCCATGGTCAGAGAGACACTGCACAAATTCTGTTGATGAGAGGAGCCAAGTATTTACCAGACAAGAACGGTGTTACTCCACTGGATCTCTGTGTACAGGTATTGAGTTAGCAACACTTTTTTTCTGGGAACTTTAGTGACTTAGTACAGTGTCACCTGATCAGTGTTAACTTTATTTTTCAGGCTTCTGGAAAGGGTAGTCCTTTGGCAAAACAAATGCCAAAATAGATTTATTTTGTAATTAAATTCATCCTACAGGCAGGTTCATATTTGGATCCTTTGCATAAATCTTAATGCAAGAATTGACCTCATGAGAACGAGTTTACAGAGTTCCATTTGACTAAAAGTTTGGGAATCTTCGGCATAATGGGGATAGACTATTTAGGTGCTTAACACCTAGTGACTAAGATATAAAACCTTACAGAAAAAAAGTGAGGTGTTTTTTTTAATCTCAACTAATGGATTTTCTTTGCTCTTGAAGAGATATTCTAATAAAAATGAACAAAACTTCCATGGTGCTGAGACTGTTACTTTTCGTGGCCAAGAAGGCCAGTGGCATCTTGATCTGTATCAAGAATAGTGTGTCCAGCAGGACTAGACAGCGCCAACTCCCTCAGCCTGTCCTCAGAGGGAATTTATTAAATTATATTTTCTTATGTTGTTTTGCTCAAGCCTAATAGTTGAAATCATGATCCTCTTCTCACTTTTAGAGGGAATGGCCTTGAGCTAAGCCAGGGCAGAGTCAGATTGGATGTGACGAGAAATGTTTTCCCTGTGAGGGTGTTCAGGTACTGGGATATTGCCTCTGGAGGTGTTTGAGAGGTGTTTGGATCTGGTGCTGGAGGATATAGTTTAGGGTTTAGAGGTTCCATCAGTGACAGGTTAATGGTTGGACTCGATTAGAGTAGAGGTCTCCTCCAGCCTTGATGGTTCTATGATTTTGAAACCACAAGAAATTTAGTCAGTTTTGATGCCTTCTGCAGCTGCAGACCTGTAAGACTTATACACCAGGGGAGGTTTAGAGTAGATATTAGGAAAAAGTATTTCATGGAAAGGGTTGTAAAGCTTTGGAGCAGACTGCCCTGGAAAGTGGTGGCGTCACTGTCCCTGGGCATCTCCAGCCTTGATGGTTCTATGATTTTGAAACCACAAGAAATTTAGTCAGTTTTGATGCCTTCTGCAGCTGCAGACCTGTAAGACTTATACACCAGGGGAGGTTTAGAGTAGATATTAGGAAAAAGTATTTCATGGAAAGGGTTGTAAAGCTTTGGAGCAGACTGCCCTGGAAAGTGGTGGCGTCACTGTCCCTGGGCATGTTCAAAAAATGTGTGGATATAGCACTTGAGGACTTGGTTTAGTGACAAACATGGTGGTGGTGCTGGGTTGGCGGTTGGGCTTGATGATCTTAAAGGTCTTTTCCAACCTGAGTGATTCTGTGATTCTACAGCTGTGTATTTAGTGGTACTGTTCTTTGTTTTTATGGTTAGTGTTTTGAATTTCTGCTTCAGTCTCCAGTTTTGCAGTCCTTTTGCACCTCTTTATACACAAAAATTCTGTTAACTTTGGGTGTGAGTAGTGACACCTGGTGTTTGCTGTTTCATAGTGGTGTGTTCGAGATCATGTAGTTTACAAGTTCACAGTGCCAAGTAAGATAGAAGAAAACAAAATATATTCTTTTACATCAAGGGGTTTATTCTATGCTTACAGGTTTCTTTTTCAGAATAAATAAATGTTTTGAGAAGATTGAAATTATTGATTCATGTAATTCTTGCCAACATGGTATTCCCTTGATCTTGAAAATTTGACTTTGAATAATTCTTATGGATTCTAGGTGTTGGGTTTTTTTAAATACTGAATTTTTTGGTACCATAAACAATTTGTTGAAAGAATCTGTTATCACTGAGGTGAGTTGTCAGCTGTCATTCAAAGATGACGAGTCCCCGAAGTTGCAGCATTTAAAATAGTGTAATTTTTCCAGTGTAGGAGTTGATGCACACTGAGGTGTTAGGTGTCTGCTTAAAAATGCAGCTGTGTTAAATAAGATATGACACAAATAAATCACAAATTCAAGTTCTAGTCTTTCCAGAAAACATTTTTTTCTCAGAAGAGTGTGAAGCTGGTCTGAGCCACAAGTGGAATCATACTTATTTTAAATGATTTTAAAGTTAAATAATCTTTTAATGGGTTTATTCTGTTTCTTTCTGCAACAACTCAGATACAGAACCATCATGGTTGGAAGAGACCTCTAAGATCATCAAGGCCAACCACTAACCTGCCACTCTGCTGTAACCCCTAAACCATATCCTCCAGCGTCAGATCCAGATGTTCCTTAAACGCTTCCAGGGATGGTGACTCCACCACCTCCCTGAGCAACCTATTCCAGTGCCTGAACAACCCAACGGGGAAAATGTTCTCTTAACATCTAATCTGACTCTCCCCTGTCTCACCTTATGAGCATTCCCTCTAGACCTCTCCCTGCAGCCATGGCAGGAGAGACCATCCCCCACCTCTCTACAGTCCCCTATCAAGTAGTTGTAGAGAGCCATGAGGTCACCCCTGAGCTGCCTCTTCTCAAAGCTAAACAAACTCAATTCTCTCAGCCATTCCTCATAGGACATATTTTCTAGGTCTCATGTGCCTTATGAACCTTTAGGAAATGTTTGAAGGATACTGGGTGTATTTAAGTAGATGTGTCAGCAATGGGAAAAAAAGTGAAATATTGCACTGGTTTTAATTTCTGGTAATGGTTAAGTGAAAAGTTCAACTGTAACTTTGGCTTGGTAAGTAGGAGAATGTTTCAAAAACACACAAAAAAATGAGTGGATATATGTGAGTCAGTATACTGAGAAATTATTCTGTCTTCTCCCAAAAGTTTTGTGATATCTTTGTTATTGAATTTCAGTTTATTTTAGAATAGGATTTCTCCATTCAGCATGAAAAAAATATTGTACTGCTCAATAGATTTTATTGCCTATAATAGTCTAACTCCCAATTCTAATGCTTCTTTAAATGAAAATGTTTTGTGAACTATTGCTTTTTAGGGTGGCTATGGAGAAACTTGTGAAGTCTTAATACAGTACCATCCTCGGCTTTTCCAGACAATAATTCAAATGACACAGAATGAAGATCTCCGGGAAAACATGGTAATGCAGTTCTACCTGTTCTGTAGGTACTGATCTGTCTGGGTGTCTGCACAACCAGCAATTGACTGGCAGTGCCACAGGAGTTGGCCACTATCTATTTTTCTTCCCCTTATGGGAAATGTATAGTCATCACATAGTTTTAAACACAAGAATTTGGGTTTAAACATAGAATCTGTTTTCATTTAGTGCTCTAACTTTGCATATTTGGCGAAGTGACCGAGATGGTGTAAGAATTGAAAGAGCAGACTTGTTTCAAGCTTCAATACAAAGGTGCTGATAGAACATCCTATAGATACAATTACTTTGTGTAATGGGGCCCATTTTCCTTCATTTAGTCATCATCTGCAGACATCCATTCTAGGATGGGTAGTCTAGAATGAACTTCTTGTTTATTGTGGGGTAGTATAATCTAAAACAAAGAAAAAGCGAGGAAAAACATTTTTGTTTCTGCATTGTGTAGAGGGAAGGAAGCATGGGCTGCCTTTTTCTCCTTCTAAATCGAGCGAGTTGTGGGTTTTTCATATAGTTTTTTGAAAATGACTGCAAACAATTGTACTGACTGTAAATAAAAAACAATAAGTAGAAAACCAGATTTACTAAGGTATTGGCTGCCATTTCACTGGACTTAGTTTGCTAGATTTTTGATATTTTCATTTTCTCTGTAACTCCATTACTTCCACTACAAGACTGAGGAATTATATGTCTATATAGAAACAGTGTTTAAATTTCTGGGGCAGGGTTGAGTATTACAGAATGAAATGACAGAGGTGAGTGTTCTCAAAGTGTATGTTAGATGGATAGGGAGATGGATTAAATGTAAAGAGAAAGTAAAAGATCTTAAACAATGGAACAAAAAACCCTTTCATATATTGTAGAAGTGAAGACAGCAAGAAAAATGAATTTTTTTCTGTCTGAATAATGGAAGTGTGTGTAAAAACAAGATTAATGAGAGGGTATGCAAAATAGAATCATAGAATCATATAGTCATTAAGGCTGGAGGAGACCTCTAAGACTGAGTCCAGTCCTTAGAAGGCCACTCTGCAGTAACCCCTAACCAGTGTCAGATCCAGATGCCTCTTAAATACTTCCAGGGATGGTAACTCCACCATCTCCTTGGACAATCTGTTCCAGTGCCTGACTACTCCAACAGAGAAAACATTTCTCCTAACATCTGATCTGAATCTCCACTGTCTCAGCTCATGACCATTCCCTCTAGTCCTCTCCTTGCAGCCATGGCAGGACAGACCATCCCACGCCACTCTCCAACCCCTGTCAGGCAGTTGTACAGAGCTATGAGGTCACCCCTGAGCTGCCTCTTCTCAAGGCTGAACAAACCCAATTCCCTCAGCCATTCCTCACAGGACACGTGTTCTAGACCTTTTCTGAGCCTTGTTACCCTTGGCTGGACTTGCTCCAGTGCCTTAACTGTGGTTAGGTTGGATGTCAGATGATATAGATGTACATTAGTATTGCGATTGAGTGATAATGTTTGAAGTAACTGATAAATTTTTGTAGATCTGGTGGTCCTTGACACTGTGCAATTCCTTTTGTTTTAATCCTTCAGTTGCGGCAAGTCCTGGAGCACTTGTCTCAGCAGAGTGAAAGTCAATATCTTAAAATCCTAACAAGTCTTGCTGAAGTTGCTACAACAAATGGTCATAAACTGCTTAGGTAAGTGTGAGAGGGTCACAGTAAGTTGATAAACTGCCTGGTGCTTAGTGCTACTTAGGGGTTTTAGTAATCTAAACTATCTCATGCTGGGCAGGTCCTGGAGTAGGTGGATCTCAAATCTGATTCTGTATGACAGTGCCTCTTTACATCACTGTCTGCATAAAGACCTCAAGAGAGAAAGCTGATGTCCTTGTATAGCTGTTGGCACCTAGAATCTTGAGTTGCAGAGAAGTGTATTTTTGTTTGGTTAGTTTGTCTATGTCAGCTTTAGAAAGGGAAGCATTTTAGAGAACTATCAAATCATTCCTTTTTTTATTTTTTTGCCCCTCTCTCTTTCTTCCCTATTTTTACTTTTTGGCATGCTTTCTTAGTATGCTTGAGGTAAGTTTCTGTGCTTCAGTCACTTGTCTCTGATTGCCTTCTATGGCTACTGTGAGACCAAAGACTTCATCTACCAATGTGCTGTCTCAGCAGCACAAGCAGCAGTTACTTAGGGAGACACAAAATAGTCAGGCATGTTCACCTGGTGTGCTTTCCTAGGTTTTGTGGCATCTGTTTGGGGGAGTTTGTGCAAGACACCTTATCTGCAGTTTGTTGAAACACCACTAACATTTTACCATTTTCAAAAGCGAACAGAATTTGGTGTAACCTTTATGCTTTACTAGAAGCTAGGAAAATCTTCACTGAAAGAGGCCAGGAGTCTGAAAGCCTGAGTGAAAGCTCCTTACTAACATGTTGTGGATGGCTTTTTGGAAAATAGAGGTTTTAGTGTTCTGCTACCAGAGAAGACTGTCAGCATAGATTGTAGAGGAATATGACTTGGAAAGCTTCTTGTAAACCAGGGCCAGGTTGAGAGGAGCCCATCGGAGAATATATAATAAAATCTTAGTTTTAGGTGCCTTTTTTTATTTGCTTCCTTATCATTCATGTTAGATTTGGGTGGAGCTTGCAGACAGCAGGTCAGAACTCTTAGATGATGCTGGAAAATTCATTACCATTAATCACAGTCTTATTCTGATGGGTGTTTGCTTTGACTTGGTGTAAAAGTCTTAAACCCTTTAAATGTTTGGGGTTGAAGTGCATAGACATTTTGTTGCTGCAAAGGTAACTTTTTTGAAGAACTTCAGCTGTTGCTGAGCTTCAGTGTGTAATCACCTGAACTTGTAACACATTCCTTTTTGTCTCCAGACTTCCTTTAGAGCCAATAGATCACCCACAAATAAATTGTGATAAAGTGTAAAACCATTCTGCAGGGAAGGGTTTCAAACTTGCTGTATAGGGACATTATTAGAAGTTGTAGTAGCTGGGTTAGATCATATGCAGCAGTATTCATTTCTGTTCAGTATCTTCAGAGGCAAATTAACCTGATTGTTGTCTAGATTTGATTTATTACTGTTACTGCAGCTCTGTATTGAGCAACACTCCCTCTGTCTGGCTGTAGAAACAGTATCTCTGTGCCTGTACTGTCTCTGAATTTGAGCTGCTGTGTGCTCCTGTACTGTTGCATCTGGTTGGACTAGTGGAGGCTGAAGACAAGACAGAAGTGTTGCGTTGCATCAGATGATTCTAAAGGTGCCTGTGCTTAGAGTATTCTGTGGACTCTTCCTGGCCCACTTCTCATTGGTACTTGGTAATAGGTCACAAAGGGGAAGGTAATAGAAAAAATGAGTCCAAGACAGTTTCACAAAAACTGTTGCTGTTCTCTCCAGTTCTGTTTCCTGTCAGAGGCAGTGAGTTTCTGCTTCAAAAAAGTATTTCACAGTTGCTTTATTAGTAACAGAAGAAGGATGAAGGTAGATACTGAGCTTGGGTCTCTCTGCTGTCTCCTCCTGCCAACAAATGTTTGCAAAATGTACTCTGTACGTGAAAGCCTCCACTAATGATCTTCTTGCATTGCTGTTTTTACTTCTGGCTAAAATTATGTGTACATCTTAGTAAAATTATAGTGCTTATATTTGACTTCTGGGGCTGGTACAGGAAAGTTAAAATTCACTAGGGTTTAAAGCTTAGGAGTTTCTTCAGCATATGTATTAGACCTTAGAATTAGATTGCTTAATTATATACTAAATTGTTTCATCTAGGAAAAAAACTTAGACATTCCATTTTTTTCTCCCCAGCTTGTCAAGTAATTATGAAGCTCAAATGAAGAGTCTCTTAAGGATCGTGAGGATATTTTGCCATGTCTTTCGCATTGGCCCATCCTCTCCCAGTAATGGAAATGACATGGGCTACAATGGAAATAAAACTCCAAGAAGTCAGGTGTTCAAGGTCAGAAAAGTATATGATGTTGTTAGGAAGATAGACGTTAAAGAGCTGAATTTCACAAAGCATGCATTCATTAATCAGACATCCCATGAACAGGAAGTAAGTTTGGTTGATGTCCCTATCCCTTCTTAAGTTAAACCTACCTCTCCTACCTTCTCCTTTCTTACTTTTTCCCACTGAATTAATTTAACCACTGATGCTCATCTCATTTTACGGTTTCTGTTTCTTATTTCAGATTGTTTATTAGATGTTGAAGGTTTAGTTCCCCAGCTGATTTTGGTGAACTTTTTTATATCTCTTTCTTAAGATTGTAGTAATCTCAAAATTTGGTAATATTAATATAATAGATTATATTACTGTAATTTCAAAATGATAGTTGAAGATTCATTGGGTGTTCTGATCATTCAGTTTTATCCAGCTTCACAAGACAAACAGAAATAGTTGAACTCTTGATGTGTTAGTTGTTTTCACTGTGACCATGAACTCTTTTCCCCAAGTTGTTCTTGGATTTTGTTACATGCTTTGAAACATCAGTTTCCTACTACCTTTGCAAGCTTGTTGATTTATAGCTGTTTTCAAACACGTGCTTTAGGGGCTTGCCATTTAGATGGTTGATTTTGAAGGTTGGTTTTTTTTGAATGTTTGTTGGTGAGGAATCTTTTTGTAGAAAGTCATAGCTTGCCTTTCTGTAAAGCAGTCCCAGTTTTCTGTGTGCCACTCAGTCTGCATTGGGTATATAATTGACATACTGTTCAGAGCAGCTAATTAATCAGAATCACAGAATCAGTTAGGTTGGAAGGGACCAAAGTGGGTCATCTGGTCCAACTTCCCTACTCCAGCAGGGCCATCCTAGAGCACAGGGCTCAGGTTTGTGTGCAGATGGTTCTTGAATACCTCCAGTGTGGGAGAGTCCACAGCCTCTCTGGACAATCTGTTTAGTGCTCAGTGACTGCACAGAAAAGAAGTTGTTCTTATTCTAGTGGAACTTCCTGTGCATTAGTTTTTGCTGTTACCTCTTGGTTTATTGGTTTCGACCACTGAGCAGAGTCTGATTCATGGTCTTGGCACTTCCCAGTCATGTGCTTGAACACATTAATGAGGTCCATTTCAGTTGTCTCTTCTCAAGACCAAACAGGCTCAACTCCCTCAGCCTTTCCTCATCAGTGAGGTGCTCCAGGCCCTTCATCTTTGTTGCCGTAAGAACTGAAGAGTAGTCTTTGTTTTTTCCCATCTTCCTCCATACTATTAAATGGCACAGCTCATTTCACCAAATTTAGATGCCAGTCATTACTTGAGGATTTTCCTTAATCTTTGCATTTCTTCACAGTGTTGTGAAAATGGTATTTTGAAATTATTGCTCTCATTTGATAATATCTTCTCATCAGGTTACTTCTAAGGGCTTAGAAGTCAGAACTATATTGATAAGGTCATGAAAGATGAAACTCAATTCCGGTTTATTTAGTTAAGTATCTCAGTTTTTGTTTAAATTTCTTCTGTTGGAAAGAAGGAAAGCATTAGACTATTTGAAAAAACAAGCACAAGTGTTTGTTCTTCGGGTAGCAAAATAGTTTTAAGAACAAATTGACTTACATAATGAATATAAAACTAGTGCTTGAGTCTAAAAAATACTGTATGCAAAATGTAATGCATTGTACAGTATGTAATGTAATAATTGTCCCTTAGAGTGGTTCACTAAAATTTTTTGGGCTAGATTGGTACATTATGGGTTTAACCAGATTTCTGTTTTCAAAAAACAAAGCCCTACCCAAATCACAAAATTGCTTTAAGTACACCAGATTAAATATCAAGCAGTTGTAGAACACACTTGATACAAGAGCCATCCTCGGTGAGATACCCTGCTGCCTTTTTTTTCTTCAAGGTTTTAGGAGTAGCTGACCTCATCTCCTTCTGTTTAGTCCTTGCTCATTGCCCAAAACTCCACATCATTTCAGAACTCAGCATATAGCAAAAGCATTCAATTGCAGTTTGCAAAGGTGATTGTATTTCAGCAGAATCACTTATCTGTGTGCCCTAACTGCTTTGTATGCTGAAAGAATTGTTGCTCAATTTACCATGGAGTTAAGTCTTGTGCAGTAGACTTATATTGCATAACTGCCACAGTTGTCCCAGAAAATATCACTAATTCTTAATTGTGTGAAGACAACATTTATGTTTTTAGTAAACAAGCAAAATATCTACTACTGTTGCATCAGTTAACCAAACAAACATTTTAGGGTATTGCTATTGTTGTCCTTTATTTATTTGGAAGTATTAAAACTAAGCCAGCCCTTCATTAGGGCCCCTGCTGTCTCCATGATATTTTAAGGATTGATACACTTTTCAAACTCAGAAATACAAAACTGCTGATGAGAAGTTATTCCTGTTTGGGAATGGGGCACACAGGTCTGGCAATGCTAAATTAATCTGCAGTTGTTGTTGGATTAGGCTGAATTTACAGTGAGTGGATAGTGAGAGATTAGACACAGTCCTGAGTGAATTGAGTGGCTTCCAGTTCTCTCTTATTCCTACCTTTCCTGTTTCTTTTTATGTCCCTTCCTTGAAAACATGGTTGTGATGGTCTCTTGCCTTTTGAGAGGAGGGCCAAAAGCATATTATATCTCTAGATTATTGCAGTGGTTTGGAGGCTGTTTGAAGACCTGGCAGTTGTATGTCTTCACTGGCACCAGTACTTGCATGTGGGACATGCAGGTTCGTGACATTTCCTTTTCTGGTTTTGGTTTTCTTGATTATAGGTCAGCTAACTGGTTAGTACAGTCTATTAAGGAAACCACAAATGTTGCTGCTCCAAAATGGGTGTTAAGTCTGTGTTTTAAAAGTCAGCATGGAACTGAAAGATTTTGAATTTGAGATCCATATTGAAAATAGAGAACAGTAGCTTTCAGTTAGAATCTGCTGATGAGCTTAAAATTCAGTGGGATAAATGTTGTAGGTAACTTGAATTTTGATACGTGTTTTATGAGGAAAAATAAATCTCTCAGACTGATGGTTCATGTCCCACGTAAGGTGCTGAGTACTTATGCTACTGAGTATTTCTTTGAAAGCTGTTTATTTGAGCAAGTGAAGGCCTCTACTTCGGTCTTCTTTACAGTATAGCAAGTTAATCAGTTGTTCAGTACTGTCTTTTTTCAAGAACAGACTTTCACCTGGGGAGGACTGAGGGTAGCAGTGGCAGGAGGTCTGTCTTGTGGTACCCTTGTTGGGTATGTGGAAGGATGTTATCAGGCCTTATTGCATGTTATAAGGAATTGTTTCCTTTCCTTCTAAGCACACTTGCTGTTAGGTCCAAATAGATCGATACCTGATGACTTTTAAAGATGCACTTCATAACTCCTTTTAAAAAGCTGGTGCAAAACCGTATTTTATCCAGTGTAAGAAATGAAGAAAAACTGTCTTCTGACTTTTTTCGTAACGCTGTGTTAAGTTTTTCTGTATTTCTGTGTATTTTGAAGATTTGTCACTGTGAAGAGTTGTCACTGTAATCTAGCTTGGAAAGGACTAAAAATGCGAGTATATCTTCATCTGAGGCTGCTGAAGAATGTTATTGCTTGACAAGGATAAGAAAATCACAGGGCTATCTGTGCTTTACTGAAATTCCCTGCGTGTCGTTTAGGCCTGTCCAGATGTTTTAAAGTGGAAGCATTAGGTAGTGATACACATTCCTGTACTGATCCTGTAAGATACAAAATAATCATTGAATTTTGTCTCCCAGGCTTGAAACAAGCTACTGGTAACTCGAATGAGACCTTACCAGTAAGAAACTTTACAAATAGTGATTCTAACCAGGCTTACATTCATTACTTTTTCATGTATTGCTCTTCCAGTTGCTGTTCAGTGTGATTGTGTATTAGGGAAACTTGCTGCAAAAATTCTGTTGAACAAGGTTGGGAAGCTCTTAACATTTTTTCCCTCGTTTCAGATACTGTTCTTTTCTAGCATTGAGTTGACTTTTCTGCTGTGACACAGTCACTTCATGGACTAGTGATCTCCTGTGCCCTGTGTCTTGAAAGGTCCTCTGTCATCTGGCAAAAGGTTTTGCTTCAATGTTGCAGTTTGAATATGGGTTTGATCACTAGTGTCTTGTTTCCTAGATGGGTAAAGAGGAAGGCATTGCATAAGTAATTCCTTGCATTTGGGAGGTAAGGTGTGCAGCTGGAAAAATTTGGTACTCAATCAGACTCAATTGAGTAATTCCAGAGGAATTTTTCTGAACTGTGAGAGGTGAAAACTGAAGTTTGAGTGGAGGTTTGTGTTTAATATGAGGTTCATGGTAAGAATTGACTGAAGAATGCTGACTTTGTAGTTTTGAAAAAACTATGCTAATGGTTTGATTAATATGTCTATATGATGCTTGAAAAGGTCTGATCATGGATGCTAATATAAGATGCTGATGGTTGTGGATATGGAGGTGATGGGCAATGCTTAGAAGTGCTTTATATCCCAAAGTTAGACTAGAAAGATAGAGAATGAAATGTTGAAGTTGCTATGCTTGGCTACACTTTTGAATGAGTTTGTGATCAGAATCTGTGAAGAACTAGCTTTGGAAAAACCAATCAGTTGGAAAAGTTCTGAAAGGTATGCTATGTCTGTGGGAAATAAAAGATAAAACACAGGCTAGCAGTTGAAAAATGGTGTCTGGCCAGCTAAGCATTGAAAAGTTTGGGAGAAGAAAACTAGATTTTAGTATTTGAGTAACTACCTAGTTTTCTGTGAGTTACATGTTAAGAAAATGGCTGCATTTTATTCTTTCATGTATTCAATGAACCCTATTTTCTATTATCAGGTTTTTCTACGTTATGTTTTGTGGTAAAGGTCTGCCAGGTAGGTCTTGGCAAGATCCTCTATGGCGGATATTTATGTAGAAGGTCTTAGCTACGGTGGAGGTATTTGGGTCAAAATCTAGGGAAGTGTGTGGTCACTAGGAGCACAAGGATTGAGTGAGTGACATCCAGTATGTTGAGCAAAGCCTACCAGTATCAGATCAGGCTGGTTTTCCCCCACTTTGTACTGGGGAAAAATGGAAGCATAGTGGTAAATGTTTAAATGGCGAATTTCAGCAGAACTTTTTAATACACAGCTTTTATGAGAAGTGTATTGAGAGCGTGTGGCTGTGAGGTTCACTGATAGTGCTCCAGGTAGTGTAGACTTCTGGTACAGTGTGTTGTGAACAGCTCTTAATTTTTAAAGGCAACTTGAGAACACAAGAACATAATTTTCAGTATTTGCTAAGTCTTTGAGTGCTTTCATTGGTGAAAATGTTGATGCAAGAGTAATATGTTGATGCATTTAGATGTTCACTCTTGCTTTTGGAATGCTTTGAAGGACTTGAGTCCTATTACTTCCCTGCAGGATTCATATCCCTATGCTCACTAGACTGTAGTCTTGTGAAACAAGCCCTTAAACACCATTACGGGACAACAGAGTCAGTCCTTGTGGTTTTTTGTTTTTTTTTTATGGTCTCATCCTTTTTTCTCCTCCGTAGTAGACCTGCAATGTTTCAATTCCATTGGTTTTAAGCAGGTGGTAGTGAATAAAGAGTGCCTTTGTTAAAATAAAATGTATAGCTATACAAACTGATATGTGATTCTGCAGATACTTGTTTCTGTTTCATAGAGCTAGATGTTAGTTGGCCCTTCCTCTGAGATACCTGGGACACAATCCAAGTGAGCTGTATGAGCTCACACTGTGCATAAAGCATATATTATTAGATATGTGATGGGTCTGAGTCTCAGTGGTGTTGTCTGGAGTTTGCTCCATCTCCATGGTAGAGGGAGCTTTGACCAGGTCCTTCAAAAAGAACTGACACTCTCTTGCTCTGTTAATTCAGCCTCTGTATTATTCTCTGCTTGACTGTGGTGGTCAGGCAGCAGTGTGTTGTGTAACATCCAGGAGGCCAAACTCTGTTAGATAGTTCAGTGTTTCACTCTTTCTAAATAACTTTGTTTCTTCTGTCTGCTGCTTGATTATTTTCCTTCTATATGAAGTTTTCTCTTTGTGATCTGTGGCTACAAGTACAGAATTTTTATGAGTGTTTATATGACTCTTATCTCTGACATGACCTCTAAAGGATCATTTAAAGCTTTCATGCATAGTATTTATTTCGTGCATGATATTTATTTGCCTTAAGAGGATTATTGCATTATTAATATTATCTAATGTCATCATGTTCATTTTCTGTGTGTTTTTTTCATGTGTTTATTGCAGCCACTGGAACTGCTCTGGCATTCTCTGGACGAATGGCTCGTTCTTATAGCCACAGAGCTGATGAAAAACAAAAGGGACTCTGCCAACATTACTTCTATTTTACTGAAGCAAAAAGGACCAGATCACCAGGATGGTACTCCTGAACCTTCCTTTGCCGCTGCAGGAACCGAGGGAAGAAAAGAGCTGTCCAATGATGCTGTGGAGTTAAAAGCATATGATGTTGCTGGGAAGCAGGAAACTTGTGCTGATTGTCAGGATGTTATCTCCATGACAGCAAACAGGCTAAGTGCTGTCATTCAAGCCTTCTATATGTGCTGCTCCTGTCAGATGCCTCAGGGGTAAGGAGAGGATCCCATTTGTTACCCCAGCTATTACCATTTTAAAATCACAAATGCTTTCTTGGAAGAATGTTGGTGCTGAGCAGATTATATTAGTGACAGTCAAAGGTGTATTCTTATTAATGCTTTCACTAGCTCAGTTATTTTAATGCTTTTTATTTTTCTGGCTCTGATGGCACCAAACACACTGCAGATTTTCCATGGTGCTGCTATGAATGTGACTGCATTGGGGCAGATTTTGTATTAAATATCTAATGGCTCTTTGTAATCTTGTATAGTATACATGCAGGTAATATAATTTTGAAACTTATCTGTATTTGCTGTTGGTTATTAATGTGAAATTATCCCTAAATTTAATGTGATTGTCCAACAAGAAGCTCAGAAAAAAGAAAAAGTGAATTAGCGTTGTGTATGAAAACAAGGACTGAGGCAAAACGTGCCTGATTATATTTCAGAAGTTTATAACAAGGAGTGTGCAATCTCAATGTAACACTCATTTGGAATCCTGTTCCAGGTTGGCAAACATAGAGCTTTGTGTGCAACAGGCAGTACATCTTACATAAATTTAATACCATCAGTGTTTCTTTAGAAAGAAAACAAGTGTGACTACTGCAACTGGGGTCTTAGTCTGTCCGAGATGGTTATGGATTATATTCGTGAACTTGCAAGTAAAGAATCCTTTGGCCTTCGTGAGTGGAGGATTAGGCAAGTACAGCGGTGTTACAAGCTCCCTGAGGAATCTAGAAGCAAGGTCCCTACTACATGACAACTCTTGTTTTTTTTCTGGCCAATATGAGGGTTTTTTTCCTTTATCTGCCAACCTGAGTGGAATAAAAGCTTTCTAACTGGCCAGTAATGGTTGTCTGGGGCATGCTTCTGGAAGATGATTTGCGGCCAACATGTTCCACAAGCACCTCAGTACTTTCACTTTAAATTTTGCTCCACCTTTAGAAAGGAACTGCTGTTTAGCCATTTTCCTTGACATCTCCTTCAGGCCTTACTAAGATAAAATGTAGTAGTGTTTACAGCAGCCAGATGAAAAGCAGCAATGTTTACAGAGGTGATTGAGTGTGTTCCCCCTGCCACCATTCATCTCTTTATATCAAAATTCTGTCACAGAGGTGACTCTCCCTGTGTCCAGGTGACTTGCTGATGGGCCTGGCTCAATGGGCCTGTCTCTAAGCATAATTCATGCTTTAGGTTCAGGAGAACTCTACCCAAGTTTCACTGGCAATTACGATTATTAAAGCCAGGAGAGAGTAAGAACTGTTTAAATAACAACTGAGAGAACTTTCTGAGATGGGGAAAGTAAGGCTGAATTTTGTGTTGCTTTAGGGCTTTTTAGAACTGTGTAGAGAATACAAAGATCTGAGACTTGCTCTGTTGTACTGAAGTTTTCATGTTAATAGGAGTAAATGGCACAATGGTATAATTCTGCCATCTTCAAGTAACATTTGAAATTACAACAAACTACTTTCTCAGACAAAAAAAATTAAAATGGCTCTAATTTTAGTTTTGAATGTCCTTATGTTTAATGGAGGAGAGTAAACAAAGCTCACAGCTTTCCATTGTTCCCAACATTCATATAACACAGATGGCATTTCATGTCGGTTAACATTTGAAATATTGAGATTATTTTCTTTTACTTCGTTTTCTTCTGTAAATGCTGGTATTGAATCCAGGCATTCTTCGTTAATATACTGAGATTAGTGTCTTGAGTTTTCAGCATCAAATATGATGGGGATCATGTTTTTTCGTTTCAGGGAAGACTGTCTTGGTCGTTTAATACTTTCAGATCATCTCCCAGACTAGATGTGTGTTTAAAATGTTCATATTTGGGCTCTGGAAGATTTTATTTGCTTGCTTGGTTTGTGGGGGGGTTTTGTGCAGAAGAGTAAAAGGATATGGTGAGGCTTGTTTCTTCAGAACAGACTAAGGGAGAGAGGGAAAGTAGCTCAATTTTATATAAAAGTAGCAGCTCTTGTCTAAATTGGTGTGGGGAACAGGAACAGTTCTCAGATCGTTATACTTACGGTACTATTTTTCACAGCCTTTCAAGAAACTTGATGAGAGGACTTTGTGTTTGCAAGTTTTCATTAGCTTGTGCTGAAGCTAAAGGATCCAATAAGATTTAAAAAAAGAAAGAAACAAGCAGAACATAGATGTAAATAAATGGAGTAAAATTTTCACCCATGTTATTCCTTCCCTTGTTATCCAGATAGATACAAAGGAGGAAAAAAAAAGTCAAGTTTCTTACTAGTGTGAGACTACTGCCTGGCAAGTAGTTTTGTTACATCATGATGCTGTTAAATACCCTTTTGCCCTCATTATGAAGTTTGCTAAGTTTGAAGGTTATTTCTTCCTGGCTCTTGTTCTCACATACCACAATTTGCAAAGTGTGTGGTGAGAGTTTTATACTACAAAGTAGAATATAGAACAGCCATTGTGCATATAATATCAGCCTTTCCATATATGCTGTATTGAATCCATTGTTGTTTTGCAAACTGGAAAGATTTATTAGAAAAATGTGTATATCCGTTAATCTGAGCTTTTCTTGTTTGAGCAGTTAGTAATAGTGGTAATGTTGTTTGACCTTCTTGGTTATTGGCATCTTTGTCTTTTCTCTTATTTTATTATGGGGTCTTAATGCTGCTGAGTACTTAATTTCATGATGAAAACAATATCAGTTTCTGTTTGCATTGTGGTTTACTTTTTTTCAAAGAGTAACAGTTCCTGTAATTCAGATTCAATGTCACTAACCAAAAGCATCTTATGATTTTTGAACAGGATGACGTCGCCTCGTTTTATAGAATTTGTTTGTAAACATGATGATGTCCTTAAGTGTTTTGTTAACAGGTAAGCTTCAAGAAATGTGGACTTTCTAATCCGTCCACCCAAAAGCTCAAACTCATTTTTATTGAGTTGTATTTTTAGGCTGTTGTTGTGACATATGTACTGTATACTTTAATGGTCCTACTGAATTCAAGGGAGTGTAGATGAATGATTCAGAGCTCAGACTTAAATGAACTCTCCTGCATATTTAAGTGATCTATTTGTAAGAGTCTGTGGGATTTAATGAACAAAATCTATTTCACAGAGCAACAGAGTAATTTCTTTAATGGATTCTTTCCTCATATTTGTTCCAAATAAAGGCTCCCCTTTTGAGGCAGATGAAAACTTTCATTTGTCCTCAAGTATACCTGGACAGGGGCACTCTCTGCTGGGTGAAGAACTGGCTGGATGGCCCAGAGAGTGGTGGTGAACAGTGCTGCATCCAGTTGGTGGCCGGTCACTAGTGGTGTTCCCCAGGGGTCAGTGCTGGGCCCAGTTCTCTTTAATATCTTCGTTGATGATTTGGATGAGTGGATTGAGTGCACCATCAGCAATTTGCAGATGACACAAAGTTGGGGAGGAGTGTGGATCTGCTGGAAGGCAGGAGGGCTCTGCAGAGGGACCTGGATAGGCTGGAGAGATGGGCTGATTCCAAGGGGATGAGGTTTAACAAGGCCAAGTGCTGGTCCTGCACTTTGGCCATACCAATCCCATGCAGCACTACAGGCTGGGGGCAGGGTCGCTGGAGAGCAGCCAGGCAGAAACAGACCTGGGAGTTTGGATAGGCAGAAAGCTGAACATGGGCCAGCAGTGTGCTCAGGGGGCCAGGAAGGCCAATGGCATCCTGGCCTGGATCAGGAACAGTGTGGTCAACAGGACCAGGGAGGGGATTCTGCCCCTGGACTCGGCGCTCGTGAGGCCACACCTTGAGTACTGTGCTCAGTTCTGGGCCCCTCAGCTCAGGAGGGACATTGAAGTGCTGGAGCAGGTCCAGAGAAGAGCAATGAGGCTGGTGAAGGGACTGGAGCACAAGTGGCATGAGGAGAGGCTGAGGGAGCTGGGGGTGTTCAGCCTGGAGAAGAGGAGGCTCAGGGGAGACTTTATCACCCTCTGCAACTCCCTGACAGGAGGTTGGAGTCAGGTGGGGGTTGGTCTCTTCTCCCAGGCAACCAGCAGCAGGACAAGAGGGCACAGACTCAAGTTCTGCCAGGGGAGGGTTAGGTTGGATATTAGGAAGAGATTTTTTATGGAGGGAGTAGTCAGGCATTGGAATGTGCTACCCAGAGAGGTGGTGGATTCACCATGCCTGGAGGTTTTCAAACTGAGACTGGATGTGGCACCTAGTGCCATGGTCTGGTAACCATGGTAGGATTGGACTTGGTGATCTTGCAGGTCTTTTCCAACCTGGCTGATTCTATGATTCTGTGACTTCTTAAGGGAATCTAAACCATCTTTGTACAATTGGCTGTTTCTAGAGTTTCTCTGGGACTACCCAGTTTATAGCCTTGTCTCTGTGTGGGGAGATACTTCTAATGGATGTGGTAGAATGAGTCATTTGGAAACAAGGATTAGCAAAAAAGGCAAAATGCAAGCAGAACTTTTCTATGTGACTAATGCTACTGTTTCTTCATGTAGTCTTTTTGTATCATGAAGCATTTGTTTTTAATCTCTAACAGACTTCTAACCTATTTTTCTTTCAGAAATCCCAAAATAATTTTTGATCACTTTCATTTTCTTCTTGAGTGTCCTGAACTAATGTCCAGATTTATGCACATCATAAAAGCTCAGGTAAATGTCAGGAGATGCTTTGTTACAACTTCTAGGAATATGCAGAAGGTGTTGTGTTTAAAAATAATATTTAAAGAAAATATATTTGGAGGGGATGGAAGAACTAAGTGTGGCCTCTAATGCTTTGGAATCTGGGATGTAGAAAAAGCAGATTAAACAGACATGGCAGGCAAATTTCTGTACTTGTAATACTTTAAAATGTGTGAGTCCATTTGAGATAATCAATATTGAATATGTCTTACAAGTCCAACTCTGAGTTAAACAGTTAAATTTCTATTATTAATCTATTTGGGCACATCTAATAGATTGAGCTTTAAAATGCTATGCTTTTCCCCTAATTACCTTTTGAGACAAACCAGAGGATAAATACAGCACTGTTAGATGTTTTAGCCATAGTTTATTAGTGACAGCTCCATTAGTGAAACATCATGTTGTTTTGTTACACTTTGCCCTGTTTCCTACCATTTCATTCTGTTTCTTTGTTTTGTTTTGTTTTTTCCTGAGTAAAATCATAAACTAATTTCTCAGTTTGACATGGGACATGAATTCAAGATTAAAGAGTTACTCTAGGGAAGACTAGTGTAGCTACATGGAGAAATTAGCAAGCGAACCCCTGTGTGGAAGTCTGCTGCTTTACAGAACACTGGAGTCTTAAGCATCTGCTGTGTTTTCATTGCTTACCTTTGAAAGATTATGATTGTCTATGTGTAGCTCAGGAATAGAGCTGTGTATTTGTTCTATTACAAATGAGGATGGAATTTGGGCCATAATGAGCTATCTGGAACTCCTTCATTTAACACACGCTGGTTTACTTTTGCTTTGTTCTCCATTAGAAAAGATTCCTTACTTAAAGGAATTTTGATCTACTATTTTCATCAAATACAGAATTTGCTGAAAACAAAGGTAAAATTCTTCAGCCCAACCAGAACACCCCCCCTGTCCCCACAGTTGTGGAAAGGCTGTTCCAAGAACTTTATTTCCTTACTTGTGAACAGTAACGTTTGTTACAGTGCTGTTATTTTAAAGGTACATTGTTTTCAGCAATTTGGTTTCTTTTTTAGGGACATGGTGTAGGTGTATTTGTTATTCATTCTTTAGTTGAAATGAGTGTCTTTGAAATTCATTACCTGTGAGTAATAGAGACCCCAAGAACTGATACCCTGTTTGTTAGATCAGCTACATGTACACGCTGTAGATTGTGATGGATGAGAAGGGCCATACTTGCATCTTGGAAGAGCTGCAGAATGTCAGTCTAAATACTTGACAAACAAGCTAGAACCTTCTCAACTAGGAATTGCTTTGGAAAGTTTCTGATTCCTTTGTGCTGTTTTAAATTGCCAATGGACTTAGTGTCACCATCCCTGGAAGTGTTTAGGAGGCATCTGGATCCGGAGCTGGAGGATCTGGTTTAGGGGTTACAGCAGTGTCAAGTTAATGGTTGGGATTAATGATCTTAGAGGTCTCCTCCAAGCCTAATGATTCTGTGATTCTAACTGTACTACAAATAAGGCTTGTTTATATCACTTGTGCTTCTGTGCTCAGCTCTGGTTGATTATCAGTAATTTTACGGAAGTCAGTGACTTATTTCTTGACTAGATTCCTGCACCCCTCCCCACCCCGTAAGTAGTTTTGAGCTGGTTTTCTCTTGTGTGGAGAACTTTGATAGCTGTTTCTGGCTAACTGGTGGTCCAGCCTTTCTGCCTACCCAACTTCAGCATAATACCAAACTTCAGCAAGCACTTAAGGGCATGCCTAGTCCTTTCCTCTTCCCAAAATCCTGTAACATATTGAGGTAACATCTCAGAAATTAATTGAGAAGTGTGCATAACCATTTTCCAGTCAGGCTTTTGAGAGAGGAATTATCCAGTGGAGTGCATCAATATAATATGGTTTGCACCTTTTTTTTGCAGCCATTTAAAGATCGCTGTGAATGGTTCTATGAACATCTGCATGCTGGGCAGCCAGACTCAGACATGGTGCACAGACCTGTCAATGAGAATGACATCCTTTTGGTTCACAGAGGTAGTGTGTTACAAATGCAATGAGTGTCTCTTTGAAACACATTGAAATGTACTGAATTAAGATGAAAAAAACCCTAATTGGTGCTTTGTATTTAGATTCTATTTTTAGGAGTAGCTGTGAAGTCGTGTCTAAAGCAAATTGTGCAAAACTAAAGCAGGGGATTGCTGTGAGATTTCATGGAGAAGAAGGCATGGTGAGTAAAACTCCATGGTTTTCTTTCATGGGATTTTCATGTGGAAATACTAATTGTCTTTCACAAGTATTGTTTTGAACTAAATCCTGCTTTAAAATGACGTTAAAAGAAATATGTGGCTACCCAGTATAACTGTTGGTGCAGTGCAAGTTCTGTGTACTAATATGTTTTATTCTTTTGGCATGCAGGGACAGGGTGTGGTACGTGAATGGTTTGATATCTTATCCAGTGAAATAGTTAACCCAGATTATGCCTTATTTACCCAGTCAGCTGATGGTATGTCTCTGCCTTCTTTTTGTCCTAATTTTAGGGTGTCAGCATTTCTAAAAGCATTTTTATAATCCAAAAAAGAGTTGCGTAATTGTTTTCAGAATATAAGATTATTACTTTTTAAAGCAACACTGACAGAATTAATCTCATATATAGAGAATTGATGTATTCATTGTATATTTTTGTAACAACAGATGAAATATTTTTCTTAATTTGAAGTTTCCTTCTCTTCTTGCCTGAAGAGGAGAGTGAGTTGTTGGTTTTATTGAGTCTATGCTTTTTCTGCTTGGTACTATTAGGAGATAACATTTTGAGAGCAGTATATAAAGTGTTTTCCTTTCTTCTGCATCTGCAAGGGAAGTGTGGAGGTATCCCTTAATCTGCTTTTAGCAATCTGTAAATTAAAACAGTTAATTTTTTGTTGTAAAATCAGAAGTTGATCTCCACAAGTTTCCCTTGTATTTAACTTCTTGTTTTTTTGGGTTCTTCGTATAAAAGATTTCACATCATTGTCATCAGTGGTAAATGTTGTGTTTTCTGCCTTACAAGGTCTTGGCAAGTGGTAAAGGATTCAGTCAACAGTAGAGGCTTGGATTATTTGATGAAAGCTGAAAGGAAGAGTTCAGGGATGTCTGTTTGAGGTAGTCTTTTTCAAGGAGACCAGGAATGGATCTGGCTGGAGATAGAGGTGTTCAAGACCTGTCTGGACACAATCCTGAGCCACATGGCTCCAGGGTGGCCCTGCTTGAGTAGGGAGGTTGGACCAGATGACCTGTTGTGGTCCCTTCCAACACTGATTCTGTGAGAGGAAGGAGATACATTCTGATCCTTCCTTGAGCACATTCACAAGCTGATAGAAGCAAAGCCCATTAGAGTGAGCAAAAACCACATGTAGTGATACAGTAAGATGGAGAACCAAATTTAGGGGTTCATAATTAATCCTTTTGTGGATGATAATTATTTCAGAGCGCTGCCTTGGAGAGTGGCTGAGCAGTATCACTGTAATAATAGGATGCCATTACATTCTAGTACATTTCTTTCTGATGTTTTTTTTTCTTCGTGTGTGTCAACAAAAAAACCCAAACAGACTTCCACAACCCCAAAATAAAACTCTTGCAGTGGTTTCAGTTGCTTAGTATATTAGATTAAAAACTTCACTTAAAAAAACCAGTAAAACATGATAATATTTTTATTTTATAGGAACAACTTTCCAGCCCAACAGCAACTCTTCTGTAAATCCAGATCATTTGAACTACTTCCGTTTCGCGGGCCAGATCCTCGGGCTAGCCCTGAATCACAGGCAGCTGGTGAACATCTATTTCACAAGGTCATTCTACAAACATATTCTTGGTATGGTTTTATTAAAATCCTCTTTTACTAGTCCTAATGGTTGTCTGAGCAGCATACTTTTTCCTTTCTTCCTTTTGTGTGTGTGTGTGTGAAAAAGTCTTGGAAATTAATGTCTTTGCTAGTCTTTTCTGTACATCAGAGTCACAACATAATATGGCAGTAATGGCTATTCCAGTCTGAGTCTCACTTAGGAATTGTAGTAGTTGCAAAATATGGAAATAAATTAGCAAAACTGTGTGGGAATATTTATACAGTTAGCAACTTTTAATAAAGTAGCTGATTTTATATTTGAATATGAATCTTAAATTAAAGACAAGGAAGGCATCATTAATCTGTCTAAAGTATAATCACATAGTTTAGTTGTCTTTAATATTGCTGACTGGGAATGCCTGAAAGGCACTCTTGTGCAACCAATTGCTTTTTGTGGTGTGTGCAGTTCATCTGTCCTGCTGAGTAGTGTCATTCTTGAGAAATTAAAATAATTGTTCCTTACTTAACTTAAGACAGACTTACAAAGTTGAGCACGTTTGTTTGTGAACTCTGGCAAAGATCTATCAGGTATTTTTTATTGTGCCTGATGTTCTTCAGTCGTGTAATGCTTCAAGGAGGTGAAGCCATACTGTTGCAAATTTCCCTATCTACAACTCCAACAAATGCTCCTGATTTCCTGTAGTAGTGTTTCAGAAGTAATGCAGGTTCATCCCATTGCCTCAGCAAGGAAAGTTAATTCATATGCTTACTGTAGCATTCAAGAGGATTGGTCACAGGTCTTTATAAAACGTAACTCTTCTTTTTAGTAGAGGAGAACCTCCGTTAGCTGGTGGTATCTGTGGTCTACAGGTCTTCTCTGCTCTTCTTTGAGAACCTTTGTGCCTCTTGATTGTTCATCATAATTCCTGCCTTCTGCACTGTCATGAAAAACTTTTCCTCTTGCATGAAGATGTGATGGAATGGTAAATTTCCTCTGCATTCTTGTTACTCCTCTGAGTACATAAGCAGACAGAATTTCCTTTCTTTTTAAATGCTTTTCTTTAATCTTTGGAAGTACAAGATAGCTTGATGGTTTTTAGTAATCATTTTGTCTACCATGATGTTTGCTGAGTGCAGAACAGATCAACTCTTAACTTTGAATTTACTGTTTTTCTTCCCTGAAAACATTCAGGGAACACTGTTGCAGTTGGTTGATGGTGCAGGTTCAGTCATCTTTGTCAAGATCTTCTTCACAGAGCAATGTATGTTGCTCCTCTCCCTCAGTACTGCTTTGTGCTGCAGGAGAGTGACTCTGCACTGGGGACAAAGACAGTGGAGGACAACCAGTCTGAAGCAGCACCATGTTGGTAATGGTTCATCAGGCTTCTCTCCTCAGTAGGAAAGTAGTTCTAAAGTAGAAATGTTCATTGTGTGGCACAGTTAGCCACTCACTTAAGGGATGGCCTCTGACATCAAGAGATTCATCTGTGTGAGCAATCTCTGCTCACTCTCTGCCCAGTTGGGTTGGAAGGGATCTTAAAGATACCTTGGACAGGAACACCTTCCACTAGATCAGGCTGCTCAAAAGCCCCATCTGGTCTGGTCTTGAACACTTCCAGGGATGGGGCTTAACATTTTCTCTGGGCAACCTATTCCAGTGCCTCACCAGCCTCACAGTCAATAGTTTCTTCCTAATATCCAATCTAAACCTGACCTCTTTCAGTTTAAAGCCATTCCCCCAGTACTCAAGTTGGGATCTCATGCGAGTGGAGTAGAGGGGCAGAATCACCTCCTTCAGCTTGCTGTTGAACACTTCCAGGGATGGGGCTTAACATTTTCTCTGGGCAACCTATTCCAGTGCCTCACCAGCCTCACAGTCAATAGTTTCTTCCTAATATCCAATCTAAACCTGACCTCTTTCAGTTTAAAGCCATTCCCCCAGTACTCAAGTTGGGATCTCATGCGAGTGGAGTAGAGGGGCAGAATCACCTCCTTCAGCTTGCTGGTCACACTTCTTTCAGTGCAGCCCAGGACATGGTTATGAATAATGCCCACAGGGTAGTCTCCATGTGATATACGCACCAAAACCAAAAACTTATGTTTCTGCTGTTCAATGACACCTTGAGAATAGTGATGTGTTGCTCTTGTCATCTCTTTTGGAAATGACTGCTAATGAATTTGGGTTCCTTACTAGTTTGGCTCATGATTATATACTTGATTTGTTGTTTTCTAAATTGACAAATGACCTATTATTTACTTTGTTTCTTTTTTTCTTTTTCTTTTTTTCCATTTTGCTAGAGTAACTATTGCATACTGAGCAGCTGTCCATAGTCTCTTAATAAGATCAGTCCTAGTAAGATCTCGTCATTCTGTTGAGCAGGGATCCTGGAACTTTGTAGAGCTCTGTACACATTGAACTTGTGTAAGTTCAAAAGGTTCACAGCTGTTTATAACTTCTTGTTACTTGTCAGACATAGAGAACTGGAAAAAGTAAACCTTCACTTCCCATAGTGGCTTTTTCTGCCTCAATCACAGATTTAAACCTTTCCAAGGCCTTTGCTGTTAGTTTTGTGCATCTCCTGTCTTCTTGCTTAAGGAATCAGAGTTGCACAGCAGCAAGTGCTCCTGAGAGTTTTTTGGTTTAGGTTCAGCTGTGGGTTCTGCTAACTGTTGTTCATGCAAGATACGAGTTATGAGATTATAGACATACAAATTCTCTTCAGCTGCTTTTCAGGTTTTAAGTAAAGGAGTATGAAATCTTTTGAAGTCTGAGACTGTTTCCATTCCTTTGGTTTTTCACCTTGCACTGAGATCCTTGTTTTCTGTAGCCTTTCCTGTTGATGGCACTGAAACCACCAGTTGTGGGGTAAGACCTTCTGTATCTGAGGAACAGTGTGAACCTCTTTGAAAGGAACTCCTCTATTTAGTCAACAGACTAAATAGACCTTAATTAGAAGCTAAAATCTGTATGAACAAATGTGGCTTCTTTTTGAGACTCAGGTGTGTATATGCACCTTTTTCCACTGTGGTAAATTGAGATCTTTCTGTAACAATATCTGGTAGGCAAGGAAAGATCACCAACTTAAGTGATGACTCAGCTAACACACAACCAATATGCTTTATGAGGGGTTAGGTATGTAGCATGCATGACTTCTTTAGTGTGTGCTGTGAAATAAAACGTTACTCGATAGGTCTGCATGTTTATTAAGACTGCACTCTATTACAGGCATAGTACAGGCAGAAATGTAGTCAGGAATTAATAAGGCCTCTTAGGTTTGATTTTCTCACACTTATCTGTCTGTCTTCTGCTTAAACAAAGGGAGAGAAGATAGTTTTTAGTGCTGTTTCCAGTTTGTATTTTTTTAAGGAGCCAATTACTTTTCTGTTTGGAAAAGGAAACTTCCACCTCCAGCCCACAAAGACACATAGCAGATGAATGCTGATCTGTGCCATCTGCTGTTAGACTTCCAGTCTTCTCTTTCACAGGATGATATAAAGTACTCCTTGAAATGGCATAAACAAAAGTAAAAATTAATTTCTGTGTCAGTGTGTTTTGAACTGGAGGCCTTAAATCCTTGAATATTCAATGAACTTATCTCAGAGCTTACCTGTAGTATCTTTTTGAAGTTCTGTGGTGCACAGAAATACCTGCTTATCACAATTATGCTAAGATAGAGTTCTCTTGCTTTTCAAAGTACAGGTGCCTTAAGGGTATACAGGAGAAAGGTACACAGTATTTCATGGGATTCAAATTTTGTCTTGATCAGTCTGGTGGAGTTTCTTTGCTGCCTGCTTGAGTCTATTGCTTAGTAAAATACCTGTCAAGCAAATGAGTGAGCTTAGTGCTTTGGTCTCACAACATGCTGACTGTGAGTGTACTGTCATCATAACACTCCAGTTTCTTCTCTGAAGGAGTCTGATTCCTCCTTTTCAGCCTTCTTTTCTCACATGTTTTGTTTATATCCCTCAGAGACATCATTGTTTTCACATTTCATATGTGAAATGCACAAGTACTTACTGGTTGGCAAAAGTGAAAGTCCACTAGAAACTACTAGACAGCTGTTAGATTTTTTTGTTTGTTTGTTTTTGAGAGAGATGACAGTAATTAGTAAGTTACCTATCCGTCTCTTAAACTGGAGGTTTGCTTGATTTTGTTAGAAAAACAATGCCTTGCAGTTTGTGTACACAGCACTTCAGCACTAGTCAGCTCTTCAGGAAAAGTGTTTGCACTTACATGTTTGCAGTGGCTGCTAACCTTTGGATTTTGTGCTGTTCTCTGGGGTACTGTGTCTGCAGTCCACAGTGTGCTAAGGCACCTACTAATGGGCACCCTCATGACACTGCAGAATGTACAGAAAAAGGTAAAGCCAAGACAATACTTCCCAATAACTTGCTTTTCTCTGAGCCTGCTACCACCCTTACCCCCTGCCTCTTTTTCCTGGGTTCGTATCTGTCTTGCTAGAGTTGAAGTACCTATCATGGCAGAGTTAAACTAATTTGGGTTTGCTTTCTTATGTGGTGAAGATGGTACTTCTCTTGCATAAACCCAGGTTCACCTTGCTCTGAGTACATTTACTCAAATGTGTTTGAGTGCCATGTCTGTGAAGGGGCTGTAAATAGACAGTTTCTGTATTGGATAAAAGTCAAACTTCTACCAACTTTCCTTTTAATGCTTCTAAATGACTTGCAAGTTCAGTTTGAAAATGTAAAATTCCTATAAATGGTTTATTTCAACTGTATAGTAGATGTAATTTAAAACATGGTTAAAAAGAAGAAAACTGAAGAGCAGAAGAGTTTTTTCTGAGTTACAGAAAGGTTGTCTCCTCCCCAGATAATGTTCTGGAGGGAAAGATGATATTGTAGAGAATTATGGTATTTGGGCTTCTAAAAGTTATGTAGAAAATGCGAAGGTTTTGTAGGGAACATTTAATGGTGCATGTTCAGTATGGTAAGATGCTTTTACTGAACTCCGTTAGTGAGCTAAAATTGTGCAAATTGCTGTTGCTCGAGTGGTGTAGCATTTGCTTCACCGGGGGAAAAAAAATACAGAGGAAACTTGATTCTGTAACATTTCAAAAAATGTGGCAAGTACAGTTCTGCTGTAGTTGGGAACAAGTGGATCCTTTTTCCCCTTTTCCTGTTACTGCATTATCCTGGTTTCTCTCTAGAGGGCAATCTTCTACCATATATTAAGTCAGAACCCTTTTTGCTTTATCCCATTGATTTGAGCAGTTTTGTCTCTTTGTTTTTTCCTAGGTATACCTGTAAATTATCAGGATGTAGCTTCTATTGATCCAGAGTATGCAAAGAACTTGCAGTGGATTTTAGATAATGATATTAGTGATCTGGGTTTAGAGCTGACCTTCTCTGTTGAGACTGATGTGTTTGGAGCCATGGAAGAAGTGCCATTGAAGCCAGGGGGTGCAAGTATACTTGTTACACAGGAAAACAAGGTGAGTGTACAGGTTTCTTCAGAAGTTAATAGTTGAGAAAAGCAATCAGACTGACTTTCTGAATAACTGGAAGGGTAAATGAAGAAGAATTCCTCACATCTGTTATAATTAAAATCTTGATAATTATAATTGTCTAAAAATGTAGGTAATAGGTCACTACTTGAGGTGAAACTTCTCTAGTAAATTCAAACATACCTGCATTAAACTGAAATTAAATACCTGTTTTCAAGGAGAGAAAAAAAATAAAAAATTGCCAACACTCTTCCCCCTGTTCTAGCTTAGCATGTTATAGAAATAGTACTATTTAAACCTTTGAAAGAATTCAGGTTTGGGTCTCTTCTTTCTGATAGAGCTGTGGGAAGGAAATAGGATCAGCTTCAAATGAAGGGTTTATTTAGAAGATTGCAAATATTCCTAAAGTCATTATA